ATATGATCTATAATGAGACACGACATTGAAATGAAGAAGAGTTTATAGAAAAGGGTAAAGATTGTAAAGGTAGAATTACAGAAGGATGGCGTATTTTTATTGAAAATTTTGGTTTGGACGGTTTAAAACATATTTTCAATTTTAATGTTATTTCGCTAAGTTAAAATACTTATACTCGCTTTATCGCATTGTTACGATTTAGGTAGACCTAGTTGGTCAATATATGCTTGTCCCATGTCGGGAAGAAAAAACGCGTTGCGACCTAGTTGGTCAATATATGCTTGTCCCATGTCGGGAAGAAAAAACGCGTTGCGACCTAGTTGGTCTATATATTTGTCCCCATGTCGGGAAGAAAAAACGCATTTTTAAGTTTATGCCATCTCAGGGGCTTTTTTGAAAAAATAACGCTTTTGATACAATTTTTGTTTAACGAGCTTATTATTTCACCGTTCTATATGACGGCTTTGTAAATAATTAAAAGTATGACTCGCTCGAATCTACTTTTAGAAAGCATTTTAATTCCAACGAAATCTATTTAATCGAAAAGGAATGCTAACCACAAATATTCAATAATATAAATCTCTTGAAAGGTATTTGAAATTAGAATATTCAAAGTTGTTACCATTAATTAATTTATAAAAATTGAAAGCCGAATGAAACGCCATGTATATATATAAGAAGAAAAAGAAGTACTTTACCTTAGTATTAGTGGAAGAATGAAAAATGTCTGTCTCAATGAGAAGAAAAACCTGCAAATCATGAAACAAATTGTAGAATTACATTCTCCTGATCTGTATATCCAATAGGTAAAGCGCGACAATTTCTCTATTTGTTCGGAATAGAGGCGCGTAATTTACAGTAAAACAGTCCATATATATAGTTCATTATTTTCAACAGTTCATTTTTTGATTAGGTTTTTCACCTCGAACATATATCATGTTCTAAAAGAGTTCATTTCGATCGATGTTCAATACAGTCCATATTCATGATTTTAACGTTTCCAGAGTCCGTTACCATAGTTCAACTGTTTTTAATTGAGATTATTGTCTTTTCATAATGTTTTTGATTATTTCGGCTTGTCAGCAATTTGCTACTTCAATCGTTGTTCCAGGCAATTTGAATCTCCCCGACGTTCGTAAGTTCGCACGTTTTGTGGAGACGGTTTTCGGCAATTGTTGAAAACTTTCGCTTGGTCAGCTTTTTCGTTGATTCCGTCAAATTGTTGCCAGTCCTGATTGTTGTCCGTACTTGTGGTTGAACCCTGTTGATCTGCTCCGTTTCAGAAGGTTAATTCAAGTCGGCTTTGTCACCATTTATAGCATATATACTGAGAAAACTCTGTTTGATTTTATTCTCAGATTTTCACGATACACAGAATATAAATCTTATAACATTTATCCAGACTAGCTTAGAATGGTTTACATCGTCTTCTCCCACATCGTCCTCATTCGAAAGATATCGGAGTCGTATTTATACGTCGATCGTACATCTAATTAAATACTGTAAACGTGAGCTCGTGATTCACGTTATAAACAGAAACTCCTATTATCTCAATAAGGGTAATTAGGTACATCGTACGGATGGGAACTTAGAGATAATTATTTCAATCAGTGCCAAAGGTCTTGAGAATATAGATTTTAATTTGATAATGACTGGGTGGAACTTGTTATGTTTCTTAAAACTGGTGTAATTTGATTCCTACGAAAGTCTTTGTTCGAATTTTGGGGAAAATTAACTTTGTTTTTATATTTTTAACATGAAATGGGGTACATTTGGGGGTTAGTTGCTATACACTAATGTTCCGCGAGCATCTCCCGAGTGTTGCGTGGAATAGGAATCAAAAATACATCTAAATTAGTCGTCATTGCGATCTGAGAATCATGAAGTTGTTGCCCAACTGCGCATTTAAAATCGCGTCCCCGTCGGCCTAAAGTGGACTAACTAAGTTAGGGTAGTGGAATTCTCGTTAACCGTCGGTTTAGCTTTTTGACTGTTAACCTTTGACTTTGGTTTTGTTAAAGACAAACAAGTAAGTCTAAAGAACAAAGGCAAAAGGTCAACCGTTCTTCCTCCATCTCTACCTGGCTTTATTTGAAAAGCTGAAAGTTTATCGCGCATTTGCAACTCGCCACGCCAAACAATTGGGAACAGCTACATTGCACCGTTTTTCTTTATTGATTTAACCCTTTCATTTTTTGGTGTTCCACGAGGAGATATAAAAAGTGTAAGTGTTTCGTGACTGAAAAAAGGAAACTCTCACGTAGGGCAAAACAAAATATTTTATCATCTATCCCCTGAAAGGAATATGCGGCGCAGTAACCTACCAGTACCATATCTGTAGGCCTGATATTCGATCGCGGGACCGCATAAAATAATTTAAAAAACAGTGTTCTATGATTTGACGCCACAATCACTAACGTTTAGATTTATCTTGATAAATTGTAACCATGTTTCCCATGTGGCCAAACATCACTGTCCATCGACTAAATGCTTGATTGAAACATCAGCGCAACAGTTATTACAAGATGGAAATTTTATAATTTCGCACATCCCTAAACGTGTCGTTGGAAGTGAAGTTTCAGTAACAGAAAAGGTTGGTAATGAGCACAGACAGTTTCAAAAACTGGGAAATGCAACATTTCTTTGTTAAGCATAGGAGCATCCCGACATGTTTTATCTGCACAGTTGAAGTTGCAGTGCACAAAGAATACAATTTAAACGAGTTGCTGAGCTTTTATTGTGGAAAACTTGATGCGGCCCGAACTCATCCAGACTCTGCCCCAGCGGCCCCCAAGTAAATTGAGTTTGAGACCCCTGATTCAGAATATTCATAGAATAGCTTATTTATGTGTAGTATTGCGCAGATAAAATGTTTTATAGGACCTGTCAATGAGAGACGTCACGCGCTTGGATGTACCTCCGTATGACCTTATTTTTAGACGCTTTTGACTTCCAAGTATCTGAAGTTGTCATTACAAACCTCGGGGTTTGAACCTGAATATTTGCTTGAACGGTATTTTATGTATCATCTACTAATAAAACGTAGCTCATTTTTCCGAAAAGTTGAATATAATAACTGAACATAAATGAATGAGAAATCAGGGCACGTTAAAATTTCACAGACAGATAATATTTCATGGCGGAGTAAAAATATCATCACCCGTCGACGACTTTAACATAGCGCTTTACCGCTTTTACATATCGTATCACTGTTTCTGTAACACACTGGGCAAATGCTTTTATACTGGGTAGGTTGAACTGACAGCAGGTTGAAATCTATGATGTTTATGACTTGAGCCACTAATGTTATCGATACAGTATCTCAAATTCTGGATCACCAATGTTGCTATTTTACCTTCACCGTTTCGCCCTTTCCATCGGCACAACTTTTATAACAAAACAACATCTTTTTGCCAACGAGTAGGGTTGGGCAATTTAAATCGAATATTCGAATAAATAAATTCGAATCTAATATTTGAATCATAAATTATTCGAACTGGTTCAGAGAAAAGTTTTCGAATCGCCGCCATCTTGGTTTTTACTTTCCGCCATTGGTCGAGGTGAATTGTCCAATTTTTTTATTATTGTAGCCATATTTGTTCCATGCAATATTGACATATGTCTATCTTCTGTAGCGAGTTAATGATAAATATTTATTTTGTTATTGTGTGTGAACGCTCCGCAATTAGTCCTAATAGCACAAAAGCACTGTACACTGCAAAATTGCAACATACGGTATTTCCGCTGGCACTGAAGATTAAGCTTTTTCTGTAAATGTTTGTGAATATCTGATTGTAATAAATGCCACCAATATCGTTGAATCATGTAAAATCGGAAACTATAGCGATTGCTCCGTGACATTATTTTGGGAAAATTCATTCACCGAGCTGCAGAAGAGACTTCAATCTTTCAATGCGTGCGTGTATAATGTCAAGAAGAAATAAGATTTTTTAACATTGGGGTTTGAATTACATCAGGTCAAGTCTTCATTCAATGCTTATAGTTAATTTGTTAGACTAGTAATTATAGCAAGCTTTTGCAAGGTATAAAGACGCGGGATTGTAGTCATGGTTAATTTATTAGATTGAAGTTACGTCTTGTTTAATATTCCTACGTACGCTTTAAAGGGTACTTAGCATCAGCTGCATTACTAGAATAGTTGAAAAGATGGAAATTATCTGAAATAATAGAGAAAAAGTCGTTATATAGACCCAACAATTATTTAAATCTATAGATAACAATTTGGTGCTCCCATAGTATGTGAACCAAGGTGGCGGACAGCGGAACATAGTACCAGGTTAGGGTTGGGCCATAATTTTATTCCAATTTTTCTTGTTTACTTCTATTACGAGTTTGGGGACTATAGTTTTGTGTTTGCCCGTAGTATTTGTACCAGACATTATGTTCTAACCCTAACTTGGTACACATAGTACGTTTCGGTGTCCGCCATCTTGATTCACATACTACGAGGCTATCAACAATCTTACAATAAACACAATATTGTTTTAGATTATTTTCACAGATAACATAAAGCTTGCTGTACGTGCATGACTCGAATGAAACATGCGTTCATCTGGAAAGCCATACGCTGTTTTAAGCATGCATTGCATGACGAAGTTCGAGTTATTGTGAACAACCTCAAAATTGAAAAATTTGTTAGCAGACATATCATCAAGGTAATCAAGGTATTTTATTAATTTTTTTCTCGATTTCACTGGCAATTATTTCATGTACGTGTATAAATCTTATTAAATGTATTTTATGTATTTTCTTGTATTGTCATCGAATGAACAAAATTCTGAATTTGAGTGTCATTACTAAACTAAGTAAAACAAATAGTAAATACACTTTAATGTAGGGTACAACTATATGTTTTTGTCACATGTTACATTTGGTGAGTCAAAAATCAGTCAAGGTGCAGGTTTGGGTGCAGAATAGTTTTAATCGTTTTTATTTGTGATACATAATGATATTTTTCTCTTCAGTTATGAAGGAATGGCGCATTGTTTTAAGGATCGAGGAAAGATATTAAAACAGCAGTTTAAAAATGCGACAACGGCAATGGAAGAGGAAGTGAAAGAAATCATTCTTTTCAACAAAACAAAAGATTGTCCAGCTTCGAACAGATAAATTTTATGACGGTAACTTTTATTGCATTAGAGTTTTCACAATTCATTCTCAAAATAAATATTGGTAATCAACGATGATATATATCTTTTATACAAAAATTCTAGTGAACGATCGAGTTTGTTTCATTCCAATTTCATAAATAAAAAAGTCTCTTCATCAACCAACAATATCGACCCCTATACCAGCATGGATAACAAAATATTCTCGCCAAATACCAATGGAGTTTTTCTGCAGAGTGTTATTTTAGTCGTTTGGGGCCACTGGGAAAATTACTTCTTCGGCATTATGACATTTATTTAATTGAATCAGGATCGCCACGCTTATATATTATAGTATATTATATAAGCGAGACGATACCATTCAACTTCTACTCTAGTAGAAGCTAGTAAATCAGAAAGGTATATTCGAATTCGAGTAATAACTTCAATTAGATTGGTATTTTATATATAACTGCGTTGAACAACAATGCTTTTGTTTAATGGTGTAGTTTTTAAAACATATGTTTATTTCACGACAAACTTAGAAAACATGAATATTTTTGCCAGAACTTTGTGAAGTACGTCGCAATGATGCATGCTACTGGACATATGCTACCTATTCTCACACCCTAACATACTCAGCAGCGAAGGAAATATGTAAAAAAAAAATTCTACTGTAGCTATCATACCTAATTGATCTGGTTACGGTGATGTTCGTGCCAGTCTGAACAAAAGAATTACAAAAGTACGGGCCGAATATGTGGATGCATGGCTTGAAATCAGGGTTGATCCAAGGGTGAGATTTGTTTTCATTTCATATTTTTATTTTACTTGGTATAGCGCAACATCACTTAAACCAAAAGAAATCCGTTTGTACGATCTGGATACTTTTTACATGGAACAATAATGTTTCTTGACTGTACGTTCAGCAAAAAATATTGATTAACCTTTCAAATGCATTTAAATTTGTATCATACAACGCTACAATTTTTTCACAATTTTTTTTAGAGTGAACAAATCACCTACCCCGATCCTGATGTGTTCAAATCATGGGGATATAAATAGCGCACCATTCAAGGGAGAGGACAAAACTTAAGTGTTTGTTTTCTTTGCCCAGGTTTTATGGAATAAGAAACGGTGCCCCAACGGGTTACCAAAGCGCGGTTGTTTGCCAAATATTAAGTCAAACGATCAAAAAATGAATTTGAGACAATGCATTGTAGACTTCACTAACATTTGTATTATTCAACCGATGTGAACCGTGCTTTGAATGAAAACGCTCATTTATATATTATAGCATTAGAACGTTTCGTGCTCAAATTCTTTGAAATATATTTCAATACTTAGAAACATGATTTGGCAAGCACGAAAATTGTTTTTTTGTTGCAGTATATATTGTTACTACTATTTTGATGAAGATAAGTAACCTTGGCTATAGTCGGAAGAAATATTCTGTATTCTTTTTTAGCCTCTCTTGTTCATCCCGTTCACTGCAGCAGATTTGACTTTATTAAAATAACCAAATGCCAACTGCTAAACTTCCCTGATCCAAGTGTCTGTTCCGCACCGCTAACACCTGTGGCTTACGATGAGTATTTTGTCAGATAACCTATTTGTTCTATACCAGGGGGGACGGGGGCAAGTTTTTTGGACCAGGGGCCAACAATTTTGTTCAACTAGATTTGCGGGCCATGTTAGCGTGACATAAGAAGTTACATTTGATGAACAGAATTTTATTTACAGTGTTACAAGAGCAAAAGTGGAAAAAATGAGCCTTGTGCCAAAACTAAATTCCATCACCATTTCGACAAATTTCATGAGCTATTTTTAGCTCAAACATCAAAATTTGGTTTTAGTTTGGTTGTGGCAGCATCAGCCGGGCCAGTTCAAATTTGCCAACGGGACGGAGTTGGCCCGCGAGCCGTAGTTTTTTTCATGTCAGTTCTATAAGATTCATGTCTAACTCCACCAGGCTAACCCTTACTGAACTTCCATCGACAAATCCTACACGCTAACACCACTACCTGATATTCTGCAATATACGCAGTCGAAAGTTTTTGTGGCGTATATGAGGTTGCAGTGTGACAAGGAAGTCAAAGGAGCTCAATGTTTCAGAAATATTACAGTAATTTATTCTCAAATACATTCCAATCTATTATTTAGTTTGGGGTAGTATTTCCCCAGGCTTGTTCATGGGACATATTTTTCTGTCCCATTCCCATCACATAGCAATTATGCCCGTCCCATCCCATCCCCTCCCATGGGATTCCCATTGGAATTAAATTCAATAAAAATTGTTGAATTTAGGTTTAGCGTCTACTGAATAGGACAACATGTACGAAGAGACATGCAAACAACAAAATTTACGGACTTTGTTGTAAGGTGGTGTGTATACACGCACAACTATATTGCTTTTGTAGACTTTATTCACATTCGAAACAGAACACATTCCAGATAGATAAACTTAAAACAGTTTAGACCACTTAGGAATGCAGTATAGAATTCTGGAATGTTTCTTAGCATTTGAAACTGTACAACACTTAGTTGACTCTTGACTTCCGTTGACCACTACTTCACACTAAGTTTCGTAGGTCTTTCCCGTATTCGAGGTTGCACTCAGCTTCCTTTACCACTTAGGTTAACGTTAACTGTTACTGTTGCTTTATCCTCATCGCCAATGTATAGTGGCGTGTATACACGCACAATTATATTGCATTTGTAGACTTTATTCACATTTGAAACAGAACACATTCCAGATAGATAAACTTAAAACCGTTAATGCACACAGTACCAACTCATAACAGCTAATGTAACACAGTACACGTAATAAGTACAGAACTTAGAAGTCACCTTCAGTCATGAACGGACACGGGTCAAAGGTCACTATATTACATTTCTTAATTTTATATTCATAACTATTATACATGTGTCCATCAGCCCTTTCACGAAGTATATTGTTAATGCTGAATATGTTTTGCTCTTTATAACTTACAAGAGGACTATGCTCAAATATATGGTCACGAAATCCATAACGAAATGTTTTACCATCATTTCCCCAAAAATCATACGGTTTTCGTGTCCCACGTGTCCCATGGGAAATACAAATGTATGCTGTCCCATCCCATGGGACGTTTTCCATGGACAAGCCTGTATTTCCCACTATGTCTCCGAGTTTCAGAGTGTAACTGAAGTCGTGTCCTGTTCTTTGAGCCCCAAAATAAAATGTCTTTGATCCATGCATTAACAACTGACAGTAGGGGAAAGCGGGCCACCGTGGGGCATGGGGCACAGTAATAACTCAGCTCTCACACCCATACGGAACCAGACATGCGTTTTGATGTTTGACTCCGCCTTTCAGTGAGCTACGACGACCCTGTAAATGAACAGTAACCATGCAGAGCGACGCAAGCTATGTGGGGAATTTGTTTTTCTCATTGTTTAGTAATAGTAATTTTATTAGAAATATCGAATCAACATTAAATGGCACAAACAATTCATCAATTCAATTCAAATTATATAAAGTAGCTAAAAATTGTAAGAAATACATTGGATATTGGCATGATATGAATAAATTTAAAACTGAAAGTAGGTGGTGGGATGGCCACTTTTAAACAGGAGTGATGAAATACATGTCACGTTGGGAATTTAAGGCGGCTCTATTGTATTCATCTATTGTATTATCTCGTATTCATCAACCTTTGAGAAGCCCGTACGACATCAGAGTTCTAAAGTATTAAGTGCATATTTCTGAAAATGTTTTGTTGAGATGGTTTGGCGACTCTCAAAAAGGGGTTCATATGGAATACCGTTATTTAGCCACCGGCACTACAACTGTGGAAGTTGCGCACTGTATATTACATCGACGGCATATAGCCAGAGAATTAGTTTGACAAACGGCATACCACGCAACATATAGTGTGAATGTTACAACAAAAATAGTTTGTGTCTTCGTCACTTTCGTAAAAATTTTCGGTCGGATTGGTACTACTGTCTACTACTGAGTTTTGGAAACTATCGTCAAATTCGTGTTTTATATTCTTGTTCGAAATTGTACGTTTATCCGTTGAGTTTGAAAAGTTGCTGTCACTATCCATTGCACCAGTGAAGTTGACACTAATTTCTTCGTACGTATCAGTTTCTGAATAATCATCATGGGATTCGCAACATACTGTATCGTGACTGTCATTTATGATATTGAATCCGACATTGATTACGTCTTCAAAACCAATATTTCCATCGATCTTTTGTTTCTGGTCATCGCCGTCACTGACCTTCGTGATATCGCTGATTTCATCTCGTATTGCTCTCCGACGTTCTTCTATATCTCTTCTTTGCTGATATCGCTTTTCTTGAGCAGCTTGTCGATCTTGCCAATATCTCTTCTCCGACGCTGCCCATCGTTTTAGTTTCTTTTGTTCATTTTCGTTCTTATTTATTGTTATATTTCCTTCCTGATCAGCGCCATCTTTTATAGTTTTCTGTCTTTCTGAAATAACTTTCCTCTCTTGATATTTTTTTTCTTTAGTAACTTTTTGTCCTTCCCAATATTTTTTTTCCGACGCTGCCCATCGTTTGAGTTTTTCCTCTTGCGTTTCGTTTTTATTTAAGGATGACGATCCATCTTTTAGATTAATATTGTTTTCGAGTGAATTTTTCTCCACTTTTTGTTCCCACAAGGTTTTGGCTTTTTGAACTGAGCCTTCTCTGACTTCTGATTTTATTTTTTCTTCTTGTGTGTTTTTGATCACTGACGTTGATTCCAGATCACTATTCTCATTTGTTTCGTCACCAGAATAAGCATCGTTTTGATGTCCGTGGTAAGATTCAATAATTGACAATGTCTTATTTGTGTTTATTGCACCTGCTTGCATATTTATTTAACCACTGAAAATTTTTGTATGTCTAAAGTATTATTTGCATTGACTTATCAGTCATGTTAGTTTGCTAGTCCTCTAATATTATTTGTTGCCCAAATGTGACAAAATTCTGTGATTTGAGCACAATGTTAGGGAAGTCAACGACGTATAACCATCAGTTACACCTTGCGGTATCTATCAAGTATTTCCACGGAATGGACGTTACGCTGCTTGTGATCAGTTAATTGTAGTTGATCAATAATTAATTACTAACAAACAACCTCATAAGCATGAGAAATCTATTATTTTGTTATATAATTATATAAAATATTAGGTACACCCGTAGTGTGTGTACCACATTGGAGTTAGGCCATAATTTCGTTTCGATAATAGGGTTTTTAGTTCTATTACGAGTTCGCGGACTATCTGTTTTAGCCATGTGAATATACCATATGTTTCATTTTCTTTACACAATTTGATGTAAAGTAGGCGGACAAAATTAGTTACCTCCATATTGGTACACACACACTTCTAGAGCGCCAAATAATCAACCTGTTCATATGATTTGAAATTATTAAACTTTCTACCCACAGTCTAAAATTATTCGACCAAGATATACCAAAAAGCCAACCACGTACCGCTGCTATTTCTAAGCTTGCTTGCCATAGTAATAGATATATCATTTACCGTGACATCTCTAATAAACGTGATTGGGTTTATTTAATAAATAGACTCAGTTCGTATTTTAGACATAATGATTTAAAAGACACAAAGGATTCACAGCCTTGTCGAGATAGTGATTTAAAAAACACAAAAGATTCACAGCCTTGTCGAGATAGTAATTAGTTTGTGTTGTTTTACTTCAATATTTAATGACAAACAGATGTAGCAAATACTGTTGTCGAGAACTATTTGCTCCTTAATGAACATCTAAGTATGATTTGTCGGTCAAAAGGTCCCCCATGCAAGGATCATCATCGGCAAAGAATATTATTTTATACCGTTCGTTCTATTTAAAATTGATTATTTGTCCAAAAAACTAAAGGTGCAATGAATGAATGGAGGGTATACCTCGATTAACGTACTGTTTAATTAATGTTGCGTTCACCTATTTTTGTACCCATTTTTCACGAACACGATTTTGTAGAATCTGCTTTATATTGAACATAGTTCATACGACTTTTGAATCAAAAGTATCTTTATTAGATCTTGCGCTCAATCAAAGATCCACGGCAAATTTTAAATTAATATATATATAAATAATTACAATCAGGTTTTGAGGTTTTATTACATGTAACAAATTTTATTTTCTAAATATATGTGAAGTTGTAAAAAACTTTCGCATAACCCCAACTGATATATCAAATAGATGTTCTGAGTGGTACTACCTTCCATAGAATACTGAAGAGTATTTAAAGCTTGTGAACACCTGCAGTTCATTTGGTACTGCCGTAGTATGTGTACCAGTTTAGAATTAGACCATAATTTTATTCCGAATTTCCTTATTGTAGTTCTATTTCGAGTTTGGGGACTGTCTTTGTTAGCCAAGTGAACCCTACTCATAGCTTTCAGTCCTTTTACACTAATTGATGTAAAATAGGGGGAACAAAATGAGCTACCCCTATATTGGTACACATACTTCTGGAGCGCCGTTCATTTTAATAGAGCTTTCAACTGAATCCATGCAAACATTAATTAAAATTAAACCAATAAATATATTTGATAGTTCTACTGTATTTTACGGACCATAAGACACACTTTGAATTTAACACCGTTGCGTCTTATTGTCTGATGCGCCTTATGCATGGAAAAACCACATTTTATTGGCGGTGCGCCTTGCAAGCCGGTGCGCATTATGATTTGTAAAATACCGTGATTTAATTCAATATTCCCTGGAAAACACAAATGAAATTTCAAATCAGAATAGCAGGGAACAATTCTCAGGCTGCAAGTACAACTTATATCTAATATCAAAATCTTTGTGGCACATGGTATATCTCGAATAAACAATTGGTTTTACAGAATAAGGGTTAGGCGGGTATAATTGGGCACAAAGTGAACTTATGGGTCTTTCTGCTAAGTTGCTGTTGTCAGTCTTTGTTGTATTTGTTGGCGGTATTGATTTTGTTGCTGAGAATAATCGCTTTTTCCCCGCACGTAATGGAACAATTCTCCTCCCAATCCCTTCCAGGGGGGCTAATATTTCACCTAAAGATTTGCTGTTTTATTTCAATTAAATGACAACATTTTTTATTTTGTCATGCTTGAGTGCTAATTGTGTCGACAAACTGCTATGAGGACTCTCGTATCATATCAAAAGGATATGAATCCGCGGTTCAAAAACCATTAATTCTTCAATATTTTTTATCACGTGTTGTGGCATGGCTAACGATGTTTATGTCTCGCATATTGATATCTAGGTCGCTGCATTAAATTTCATTTTTGCTATCACAGGTTATATTTCATAAAACATTCATCTAAAGCAGGGGTGGGCAATGTGTTTGGATCGGGAACAACATTTTGCCCACCTAGACTGGCGGGCCATGTAAGTGGGACGTAAAACGTTACATTTTATAAACAATATTTGCAGTGTTACAAAGGCAAAAGTGGAAAACAATAAGCCTTCTGCTCAAACCTAAATTTAATCGCAATCTCGACAAGTTCCTTGAGATAATTTTAGCTAAAACACCAAACTTTTAGTTTGATTGTGGCAGCATCGGGCTGGCCAGATTGAATTATCTAACGGGCTAGATTTGGCCCGCGGGCCCTAGTTTGCCCATGTCATATCGAAAGTATGTGTTATTTGTGCCTTTTTTAAAGATAATTGCCGAAAATAAAGTCACACGCACTCATTGAAAAATGGAGGATACTCATCTGTATAAGCAAATATACGGACTGCCGTATCACGATTCAGTAACTCTACACTGACGGGATACTTGAAGAAGTTCTAGTCATGGTGGTCACGGAAACAACTGTGAGGTTGTTATATATAAATAACTGAATTTTAGAGAAAATACTTTTGGCGTAGCTAAATGGTACACTAACACCTTAACAAAAAACCAATGACATTCTGAAAGTTTAGAATGATGCATTAAATTATAGGCACTCCTGAAGTATGCGCACCAAGATGTCGCATAACCTGAACCCTAACCTGGTATCACGACCTGAGTTTAGATTGTGCGCCATCTTGGTGCGCATACTTCAGGAGGTCCAAAATATAATATTTGACGAATGATTTGGATCAGCATTTTGTCGATGGGAAATAGTGTGTTGTTGGTAGTTATTTAGTTCGACACAGTATGCTTACCAGCAGCATCAGTTTAATTTTGAAACTGTTTTAAACGCTTGCTGACAGGAGCAAGAATTTTTCAAAATTTTGTGACACATGATGACCTCATCATATACATTTCACTACACGGAAATAGATTAAAAATATTTTGTTGCCCAACGAATTCCCGAGGACGATCCAAAACAAAACATCATAACAGAATACGTTTTGCGTTAGCTAGGTTCAAATATTCGAGTCATCCAGGGAGCCGGGATTTGGTAATTATTATGTACGTTTCGGCCTCCCGTTCAGAAGGGCAGACACGACTTAGTTGATAGCTATACGTAGTAATTAGAAGGAAGTTGATATACAATATGTTCGTAAGGCTTACTTCCTCTCAAAGTTTAATGTGCAATACGTGCGTTACACTGGAAAAAAATTCCAACATATTTACTAAGATTTCTATAACTTCCTATTATTTTGTTCTGATAATTTCACTCAGTGTTGTACTTGGGTTCATTGGCCGCACGTTTATTGTCATATCGCACAGCCCTAGTTATCTGACTTAGACGAACTCGGGCTAAGGCAAACCCTGATACTATGATGAATATAATTTGTGTATTTTGCTTTTTGAATAATAATGTTCTTATTCACCGTATGTTAGTATTTATCATTTCAAACTGGGTGAAACTGAACGTGGAGATTTACTTTTTAAAGACAGAATTTAGTAAATAACTTTCAGATTTTTCAGTATGCATATTCCGCCTAAATACAGAGACGATAATATACGAATGTAAAAAACGTAAAATAAATTGTTAATATATCAGCAAACACCAAATTCGATAAAATGTTTTGCTTAAAATAAACAGGAATATTGGTGAAGATTCTTTCATATGATTAACGATAGATTGCTACTACTTTTAAGTATATTTCTTGAGTAACTCCTGTAGATGTTCCGTGAATATTTTCACGTTGACATACTCTGCTATGCAAGAATTAGATCAGATATGGTTCGCTTCATGACATTTATCATTTCATTTCTTCTTTATTTTTACATATTCAAGGTGAGTACATATATCGTTATTTTCTGTTGTTGCATCTTTGCCTTGAATACTCTTGAGTGATTTATAAAAAAAATTTTGACAAAATTTAGAAAATTTCGCGTTGCATAATCTTCTAACTTTTTGCCAACTTTGCCAACAGATTTTATTTATCTAGTTAAATTTACCTGCTTGTTATGTTGTTGTTGCGTACTACCAAACACGAGTGGCTGGCACACTGATTGCTATATTATTATTTTATTTTCTTTGTGAATTATCGTCCTGTAACTTCTGAGTGATATAAAATAACATGTACAAACTATTTTGTGTATCAAATAGATAATAGACAGAGAGACATATTGTACAAATCTAAATGTATTAGCGCACATTTGATGTACTAATTGCACCATATGATAACAATAGTGAAATATTGCAAACGGATAGAACAACGTTTATGTAAAAAACCTCACATTAAACATTTTAAATATATTTAAACTATATTTTGTTTTTCATGTTCAGCTCAGTCGGTTTTGGTCTCTCGAACGAACGTCACCATCAACAAACCGGGCTCATACAACGTAACATGTGAGGCTGTTGGGTTCAATTCATCAATAAATATGCCATGGTTTTCCAAAAGTGGATTTGATCATATTCCGTCAATATCTAGTAACCGAGTCTTCCAGTCAATGTCAAATTCTACAGCAGTTTTACATATTGTCGATGCATATTACGCAGACGAGGGATTTTACTTCTGTTCTGAAACTTGGGCAAATGTAACACATAATACAACAGTATATATTGCAGGTACATGAGCCTTTTCAGTATTTTGTGAAGTTCATTTATTTATTCATGCTGAGGACGCAATAGCAAGCAAATGCTCCTTAATTACATGCACATTCTTTGCTGATTTTCAGCTGGAGATACAATGTTAAAATGCTGTCAGATAGCACAATGATGATTTATTTAACTTTTTCATTTTCCACCGTTTTATTGGACACGTAGTGGACATAGCAATCGTTTTGTTGTTATGTTGTTCTTAGTCTTGTTCTTGTTGTTCTTTGACACGTTTTGGAAAAATCGCTTTTCTCTTTGATTACTGGACCAATTGCTTCGAAATTTTCAGTGGTTAAAGATGAAATTTTTCTCCAGAAAGTAATGATTTTTTTTTCCGTTTTGACGTCATCAAAATTGCTTAGCTCTACGTGTCCATATATTTGAGCATGGCTCTCTTGTTACTAGTAAACAAATTTTCGAAAGTTTTTAAAAATGTCTAAATTTGAGATATATGGCTCAGAATTCACTTACTGTTATATCTCAGTTGGGCTTCCCTTTGTTGTAATCAAATTACAAAATTGTTGTGTATACAAATAGTACATAAATTGACGAAATTTGATGGAGAGCAACTTAAACAACACATAAGTTGTTTGGCGACCTTTCTATTGTGATGTATATTATGAATAATATATTTAACTGCTTTTTTCAATTATTTTATATTTAAGTTTCAGTTCCAAGCAAGCCTTCAATAAAATTAATCGAAACCGTTTCGTGTAATGGAAACGTCACTGTTCATTGGGAACCACATGCAAACGCTGTTGGATTAAGGCACAAGTGAGTAGCAGAAAAGATGGAACATTTATTAATAATGCCACATTATTGTACTTTTTAGGCCAATTCGCGGTTTGTTAAAACACCTATATTCGTACCTTCTGTATAAAATCTTCAACTATTAATATGGAGATAGTATTTGTGAACAATAATACTAATGAATACTTGATAATTTGCCTAATTCGAGATGTAGCATATCTAACTTTAGTGTAGTTATCTAACTACAGAAAAAAAAAATGTAAAATATGGGAGCATTGGTCAGTTATTGTGACACCGTGAACAAATCATAGCACTTAGTGAACAAATCATATTTTTGGCTAATTTTTTTGCCATAAAATCCCAGGGACTTTACTGTATTATTGCAGTAAAATTTGACTTTAATGAGTTCTCACACCTTGAATAAGTAATTTTCAGTCATTAAACTCATTTCATTTACCCTTAATTACAATTCAAAGTTGCGCGAAGTTACAAAAAATGTTTCTTTATTTACTCTAACCAAACATTCTATTTTCTTCACCTTTTATTCCTCCAAATTAATGATCACAGAATAGAGGCTTTTAACTCATCAAACAATCTCGTTTCATCTAAATTTATTTCTGTCAACGCCACGACGAGAGTCGTTTCCTTGCCTTTGATACAATTTGGTGAATTCAACATAACGGTGAGATTTTTGTTAAAATGTAAACAAGAAGGTATTACATTTTTCTATTTAATTTATGTTTTGTGGAGCAATCCCGCAAGAGTGAATTCGATTATTAAAAAGTCATCATTGGCAATTATGTGCTAGCATGTGAGGGTCTCGTGTAGTTTCGTACCTAACGTTGGGTCTCATGTAGTCGTATAGTTTGAAGGGCTCTATTACATCACTGTGACGTCGTGTTGACGTAATTGTTGAATGGTGTAGTCAGGTGGGGGTTAGGATTGATACGTGAAAAAATTGTCATGCTACGCTCACTAGAAGTATGTTAGGTACAAAACTACATGAGACCCGCATGTGAGAGGTCAATGAGTGACTTGGTACTCAAATACACTTGTCTGCGGTTTTTTAGAGTAGCCAACAAATAAAGTAATAACTTTTGAGCATGAACATTCATCATTGTTAGCATATTAGCAAGTTTGTTAGCATTTTGTGCAAAAAATTGTATTTATTTATAGAATTTACCTATGTATTTTTACTATTTGTCTCAGGTGACTCCATGCTTAAACGACCTATGTAGTGTTCAATATCTAACATGGGAAAATATAATAACTTCGTCACCCGATCCAGATCCCCAGAATGTAAATCTTACCCAACAGCTGTTGAATGATACTTGCACACTTTTATGGTCGCCATCGAAAATCATTGATGAAACTTTTCGGACAACATACGAGGTAGGTGGAAAATAAGTACATAACAGATAGGAATCAACCTGTTTCAATGAATCATTTTAGTTCAGGTAATATCGTTATTAGATGTTGACCATGACTCAAATCGAAGACGAATAGTCGAAGCCAAAAGAACCATACCTATAATAATTTGTCAAGTGTTTGAAGTAAAAGATCTCTGTCTAGCATTCCACATCATACATTTCAGAGAGAGATATTTTATTTTCACAAATAACACACTAACAATGCATATATGCACTATTAAAAATGTAAGCCTCATTACGGATAATAAACTTTTTAGTAATTATTGTAAGCTATTCTTAATTGTTGTTCAAATGATATACTCCTTTTCAGTATATCTGGTTCTCACCATCCCACATCCAACACCACTTCTACTTACAGTTACACACGTCTTTATCACGTATTACAGATTAAAGTTCGAAGCACAACTGCGCGGATATCGCCACGCATGAATCGCACAACAAACGCAACTTTACCCAGCAAAAATTTGTCATCAGACTCGATACAATACCAATTTTCTACAATGCCGAATACTGAGTATTCTGTACAAATTCGAGGAAGTGCGTGTTATGAGTGGGGGAATATACGTCACCCAACAGGAAAATGCATTTCCAATGCTGCAGGTTAGTTTTTCAAATTATATGAAATGAAACA